TTGAAATAGAGTTAATAATATCTATAATAAAATTGGAGAATAAATTTTATACATAACGTTTATAATAAGTATTCAATTCATATCTTATAAACTCGTTAAATTTCAATGCAAGATGCTTTAAAAATATAGAAGCATGCTGTTTAATTTCAATTACCAAAATCACTACGCTTAGATAATCAAAATTAATATTTGAATATAATTTTATTGCTGAATTTAGTTGAAACAATTGATTATGATTTTTTTAAATTATTAATAGCAATGTTAATCAAAGAATAATGGTTAACTATTAATTGTAATGTTAATTATTCTTCTTGGTTCTTTTTACTTCATAGGATATTAAGGGGGCAAACAGAATAAATGTCATATTTTTAATTTTAAGGGAATTTACAGCTACATTATTCAACCAACGTAAAATATAAATTTTATGGGTAAATTTGTTATAAAGATAACACTGTATATAATCTTGATCTAGTACTTTGACAGAAATATTCATCACAATCACAAGTGAAATGACTATTAATTTAATTGCTCTCTTGTAAATGCTTTTTATCTCAATTTTATTTACCTTTTTATTGTTTTCACATACCAGGGTAAAGGTTCAGCTGGTCTTTTTTACCCGACCTACATGTAAGCATTTGTAAAGGTTATAGAAGAATATTTGTTGATATAATAATATATAATATAATAATATATCTCATAAAACAATTAAATAATTACACTTAAAAATTACATTAAGGCCTCGTGAACTAAACAACAGTGCTCACAACCAAATGAACCAAAAACGGAATAGATTAATTCTGTTATAAATTTTTAGGACATGGCCGTTTATCTTCTGACAACATTTGTCCTCTACTTTCAAATATTGATTAAAAAAATCATAACTGGATGGACTTTTTTTACAGTGGTTAAAAAATATATTGATTACAATAAAAATTTTAATTATGAAACATAACACATTATTAAGCAATTTTTGTCACAAAGCTTCACACCGTTTGCAACACATTTTTGTGCTGTTATTTTTTTCCGCCGATGATGAAGCAAATCACGCTTTCAAACTTTCGTAATTATAACTTTACGAAATGAAGTTAGTGCAAAAATAGAGTGTAGAGTCAAATTCAATATAATTGATATTCGTTTCACTCGTAGTATAAAATACTACTCATATATGATAACATATTATTTGTACGCCCAACAAATATTTTTAAAAATACGTAAATAAAGATTTATATGATTCCATGAGATTTATTTTAAATATATTATTCTAAATAGGCGACTGATTTGAATGCAATAATAATTGCATTTATAATGGACAATCAATTCAATAAATTAATCTCTATTTATATAAATCTAATTGATTTCACTCATAAACAGCAAATGATTGAACTAAAATAACAGCACGTACCCCGTAGCAATTGTCGGGATTAATTTAACAATATATTATTCGAATGTCCATTGCATCGCTGCATTAATAATTCTATTCAGAATGCATTGTGCATTATGAATTCAGGGGGAATTTACGAGTTTCCGATGCAACCTGAGCTCGATGGCAGCCGGCAGCCTATTGGCCGGCTACGGGGGTTCAATGCACCGCGATTATTTCTACTCACGAGCCGTAGCCGTTGTCTCCGGTTACGATAGAAGCCGCGTCGTAGCAGTTCGTAGAATTTGTGTGCTACGGTTTAGTAGGCGGAGGGCTGAGAGATGTGCTCTATTTTAAAATAATGCACATAAATAACTTACAAAGCAGGTCTTAGAAATTTTGAGAAATATTTGTTATAAAAAAATAGATTTTAGATTTAATAAACTTTATTGAACAATTGATATTTTTTATAATTTTCTTATTCTAATTCGATATTTTTAATACTCTTTATAGAAAAACTTATAATCTATACATGGAATGATGAAAATCGATCGTTTTAGTACTAACCCCAGTAAGAATTTCAGTAAATATCATAAAGATAGTATCAAGTTCTACATTCTTCAAAACAATAATATTAACTTTTGACTGCGTAAAAATTACATGGTTTAATACGGTATCTACAATAGTTTTTGACTGTATTATTATATTAAA